AAAGTCGGGGAGCAGTGAGGGATTGCCAAGGGGTGCATAGGAACTAATGGATTAGACAAACATCTGTCAGGGCTGGGTTGATAAGACTTTATCCACCTTTTATGTTGCTTCTCTTAAAGTGAAATTGGTTATATCTGTTGACTTGGAACTTAGTGTTCTTGCAAGCATTAATAAGTTGCCACTTACCAAGCCCTTCAATTTTAAGCAGTTCTCATTTATGATTCCCATGTGACTCTTTTATACTCAGTTCTGTGAATGCCTATAATTTGCAGGTGATTTGAATCCTCATTCACTCAAAGCGTCGTTTACTTGTTTTCCTTTCCTGTTTTTCTTTTCTTTTTTAATCCATGCACAAATCTGAAGTACATATCTCCTTTTTATTAAGTATCTGTTGTGAAAATTTGGAAAATTAGTGGCTTTATATAAGCAGTTTCGTGACCATTGACTTGCAGAGCTTATTTGGTGGTGGGTTCTGGATTTGATTGTATTACTGGTCAGTGCAAGCTGTTGACTGTATTTTTATAGCTTTATTTCCCAAACATTCTTTTATATTTTGAAAGTAATTTCAATTTAATTTCATACATATTATTGTCTTTAGCTTCTAAGAACCAGACAAAGTAAGATTAATCCTCTTTAAGGAAGGGAGGAAAAAAAAAAAAGAGAAAAAATAAGCTCTTGAAGCTATTATCAGCTAGCATGCATATTTTTCTTGAACTCTTACATTATGCAGGCTCCAAAATACTATAGTAACTAATGTTTCCTCACAAGAATGGACTGTGTTTAATGCATAAAATTATCACAGTAACAAGATAGCAAAATTAATTTTATTTATTCAGTATCTTATGTTAGATATTTTAGAACTATCATGCTTATGATTTATTCTGAATTCATGTTTTTAATCCTTTCTGCAGACCTTTGGCTCAGCTCCTCCAAAGCACAAATTCAAAACCAATAATAATTTAGGTAGAAGTTAGGTTCTTCATTGATTTGAAAGTATACTCTAATAGATAAGTCAGCTAAATGTGGTGAAATCCATTCTTTTTAAACAAAACATTTCATCCTATCTTTTGGCAAAAATTCAAAGTTAAGCATAAATGTAGGTAATGAGTCTTCAAGCATATTATAAAGTGCTTCTCTAATTATGTTAATTAATCCCTGATAATGAACAAGACCATTCCAGTAGTAAACACTCCATTTAATATTAAAAATTTCTATGTTTTGGGCTTTTTTTTCTTTCTTTGTTTCTGTTTGCATGTGCATCTTTAACGATGGTATTAAAACCTAGGAATGGTGAAAAAATCATATGTTACTTTGTCTTCAAGTTGGGAAAACTGCTTTTCTTGTAGAAGGGAATTCTCAGAGCATTTACAGGTTTCAGCTGGGATGGCCATTTTATTCTGACTTAAAAATGAGGGTCCTGATCCTCACAGTAGCCTCCCCAGCACTGGCTTACTGCTGATGGAAGTATCAGAAACAGTAATGGGAAATAGCATTGTACTTACAGACCTGCTTACCAGGTCTTAACTCAGCACAGAGGTCAAAGAATGTACTAAACGTAACGTTGAATGGAAACAAGTATCTGTCATAAAAAATGAAAAAGGAATACCAAAGGGACAGAGATGAAGAAGCAGATGCTTTTTCATTTCAATTTATTAATGTTATAACTCTTCAGAGGGCAGTATATATATCACCAAGCACTGGTTCAGAAATGTAATAGTAGGAAGCAAACTCTCCATGTGGATCTGATCTGATACTTAACCAATGTGTTTATAGTTCGGAAGTTTGGCAGAGCCCAGTGGGCTAAAAGGTTTTGGTGCATGCTTCAATTCTTTTGAGATGGAGGAAGACTATTTTTTTAGTGAGTTATTTATCTGTAGAACTGGAATGGAAAGGTTCAAATATAACCTGTAAAAACGTTCCACATAAAGCAAACTTATTGTGAAGAGTGGACTCAGAACAGCTATTTTTGGATTTTAGAACATGGAATACATTAAGATATGATTCAAGCAAGGTCAACAGATACTGACAGGCAAAAAGATCTCTGAAAGTGGTGGGTTGTTTTATATCAGAAAATGACATTTGATGGAGGGAAATTGAAGACAACTTCATTCCAAGGACAGAACATGCATTTTTGGTACAGGGTAGTTTAATTGTTGGAGTAATTGATATCTAGGGATATGTTTTTATCTCTATCCCTGGAAATCAAAGACTGAAAATGTTTTGAAATCTAGATCAAATTAGAATCGTAGCCTTGATGAAATTGCTAGACAAAGTTATTTAGCCTGTACTACAGAGAGCACTGGAAGAAATGAACAGTTCACAGTCTCATACTGACCTCCGTTTTCAAAAATGGTTAATCTGAGCTGCTATTTACATAAATTTTAGGTTTTATTAACATACAAACTATTCGTCTGTGTTTATCTTACCCTTTATTATAGTACACCTTATCTCTCTGCTGCAACCTCATGTTTAAGTCACATGCAAGTTTTGCTTTATAATAAAAAATAAAAAAGAAATATGTTTTTAATTAATTTGGTTTATTTGGACAAAAGCACCTGCTTGTGGGAGTTAGAACTCTGAGGAAGAAAGATCTGTTTCTTGATTCGGCATTTCAGAAGTTGGAATCTGATTTATACCTACTGGGAATTCTGCCCAGCAGTGACATGCTCTCACTTCAGATTTCCTGATAATGGCAGCTTAATAGCTAACAATTGCCACAGACAAATGAGCCAAAATATGGTCAGGCAGACCATTTCCCCTGGGAGGCATTGCACCAAAACTTCTTGCTTTCTTCTCCCCGCATATTTTTTCATAACAAGATATCACTTGTACTCCTGTGACAGATGCTGCCAAAATTGCTGTTTGTGCTAAGTATAATAAATTCTGTACAACTCAGAGTGTTTTGGGACCTGTCACTAAAGGCACTAAAAAATTCGTTAGGAGGGTATTCTGTATGTGAGTGACGGTGGGATCTATCACCAACGAAGCAACCAAATGAAAATAAAATGTGTGACTTAAGCACAGTAATAACATGAGAATTTCAAAACGCTGTAGTTATCTCCTTTATGGGCAGTGGGCATGGGAAACAGAAATACCAACCTTGCAGGATGATCCTTTCAGCTCTACTGGAAGCCAAATTCCAGTGTAAGATATATCCTAATTTTAGAATTGAATTTTTCATTACAGAAAACACTGTTCTGACTGACCTTGAAATCTTTATAAACTTTCTCTGAAACATGCTTCCATTTTGTTCTATTTCTTTATTTCCTGGCCCTGAAACGAGATCTGTGGTTGTTATCATTATTGTTTGTTCTACAGAGTGAACCCATTGTGTAATTATATCTACCAGTACCAGTAACTATCACCAGCTACAATCCAAGCAGGATTACTAGGTGAGACAGGCCTTTGGAGATTACTAGGTGAGACAGGCCTTTGGAGAAACCTCCTTTAATTGACTTAAATCACATAGTGACAGTGCCAAAAATATCCCACCATCATTTCTGCAGTGCGTCCTAAGGGAAAGAGCATTCAAAAACACAACAGTTTTGAGATGGAACAGAACTGATGGCACTGTCATCTTTCCTTCAGACTTTTCAGGCTCTTGTGATCCTTGCAAAGATGTGATGCATTGGTATGGTCTCTCTCTGTGCTGATAACACCTTGCTTCCGATATAAGGTTGCCACTGGGAAATCTCAGAGATAAGCAGCAGTTAAACTCAGGCTGCTTATTTAAAGGTCACATGCACTTGGGCATAAGCCTTGACTGTGGTTGCAACCTGCATCAGTAGTACATAAAAGGCAGAATTCCCAGGTTTGTGTATGTTATCCAACAGTGTAGTGGAAGGGGAAGAAGAAAAAAAAAAGGAAAGATTCAGGGTTTGATCTGATTCAATCCATTACTGCTTTTGAATTGCATGCTTGCATTGCATGTGTGCAGGTTGCTGATCCCTGCTGCACCCAGGCTCTGCCCAGCAGGATGTGGTGCACCTGCAGGGCATGGCTGCAGCCCAAAGAACAGGGGCAGAGCATGATGCCCCAGAGAGTCTCCTGTGATTTTCAATATAAATGTGAGGCTAATCCATACCTGGAAAGGACAATTTGAGCTCATTCAAAGGCTAACTCTAATACATCAGCATATTGTAGCTGCTAGCTGTACTTACTCTCTCACACCAGCCCTAGGTTTTGGTGGCATAAAGCATACAGGGAAATGTTGAAAAAAAGCTGATGTGAAAAAGGAGAGTTCTCTATGAGTTTATCTAGAGCTTCTCAAGCACTATAAACACTGGAGTGCTCAATGCATTCAGAATCTGAGTGTCAGATAAAGCATTAAAGAGTTAGTGAGCAAAACAATTACTATCCAGTCGCACACCACCATGTATACTGAGAGCATACATTCCCTGTGGCATGGACCTTGTGTACTTTTATGTTTTCTACCACACCAGATGCACACACGGTTCTTGATAAATATTTAAATAACAACACATGCAGCAGCTCTGCTTTGATTTTATATAAGGCATACTTGTTCCACCAGATATTGTCAGGAATGAGAAGCTTATAAGAATGCTTGTTGTTTTGTGTGATAGCAGCAGGGTTTTGTTTGGTTATGTGTGCATGAATAGCCTAAGGAGTTCACAAATGTATTTGATTTGCACTGAGTGAAGAACCTCAGAAACCGCTGTGATGAGCAATGAGAAGTACAAATGAATATAGCAAGCAATCACTTGGCGTGTACTTCTGTTAAAGAAACAACACACCTTGTATTTTAAAACAAAATTTTAGTGGTGGAGGTGGTGAAGTCGCCGTGTCTGGAGATATTCAAGAAAACAGTAGATGTGGCACTGAGTTGACATGGTTTAGAGTGGTCCTAGGAATGGGTTGATGGTTGGACTTGAAAATCTTTTTGTCTTTCCAACCTTTATGATTCTGTGATTATAGAAATTGGCAACCAGAATGTCTTGTTAGAATTCCAGAGTTCTGTGTTTTGTTTTGTTTTTCTTTTGCAGCTGGACCCTGCTCCTTGTGTTACGAAGGCATCTTCTGCAAATCTTCTGCAAAGAGTCTGCATTGCTTGATTTATACAGTCATTTGGAGGGCCTCCACACTTCTTTCTGTCCTCCCAGGATGAGGTGTGGACAATCCATTCTCCCAGTGGGAAACTGAAGGTAACTTTAGCCCATCCTCCAGAGTGCTTATTTATGAGTATTTATTGACTCTCCTCTTTGGCCTTTCAGAGGCTGACGAATGATTAAGTGGGGACCTCTATCATGTCCTTGGAAATGCGGATTGGAAACAGTGGATCAACAATTATATTGAACATGTATAAAAAGTAGTTATATATCACTGGGGTTTAATCTCTTTTACAGCAAGCAGAACATATTGATTAGAGTCAAAATGCTTAGACATACCTTAAATGACAGTATTGGCACCTAGACGTGCATCAATAAGGCTTATTTTGATGTATCTTATATTATTCTGTCCAAATTATCTCATTGGCTCTTCTATCATCATCCTAAAAACTTATTGATTTCTTATTTTCTGTTATTGTTGTTTTATGCCAGGATGTCTTTGTTGCAACAATATTGCAGTTTTCTGCAGTTTGCTGTTGGAAATTCCCAGAAAATGTAAAAGTGAAAACACTTTTTTTTTGGCTTTTTTCATTTAACAATCCATTTGTGGATCACTCTTCAAAGACAACATATCCAGATCTTGAGAAATGTATCCTGCAAATACTGCGTTAATAGCAAATTTATAATGGCTTTCTTGAATCCACAGATAAACATCTTCTGCACCCAGAGATTGCTAAATTTCTATACAAATATGTGACAGACTACACATTACTGATGCTACAGTAAAAGCTTGAAGAATTAGAACCTCCCATCTCTTGATTTTTAGGACTGAAGAATGGTAAGGACATTTCACAGTTCACCATACAGTGCTCATATAACTAGAATCTTCTGGCTATCCTTTTTCTTGCTCTGGAATATTCACAACTGCTTATTAAGCTCATAGTATAATAGGTTTGTTGATTCTTCATCAGTTCAGACAGGAATTCATACTGTGGTAAGATGACAAGGAGCTGATGTTACATGTATGATGTTATATCTTTCAGCAAAGTAGAGCTCTTTGGATGTGAATTAAGTTCCAGTGTCACATGCAATCTGTTTCAGAGTTGCTTTCTCTGAAGGAAACAAAAGTGTTCACACTTCTACCGTCTATGCTGTGGAGCTGAATTCACATTAGATACTTCAGGTCATTTTAAACAGACATTTTGACAATTAGGAACATATGCTCCTTGAATAGTCTATCAAAGTCAGAATGCTAACATGACTTGCTGTTTCGTCTGCTGTTGTTTTTCCTCAAAATCACCCTTCATGCAGACTCTGACAATTCTGATGAAACTGAAGGAAAGCACATCTCCTGTGTCAAGTTTGATTTGGAGTTGTTTCTTTAATCTGTAAAACAAATCATACCATACTTCTAAGTACTATCTCTTAAATTAAACATTTGCCAAGATGCTGTACTAGGTTACTGCATGATGGCAAATGGATGAATTGAAACTTTCTGGGTCTGCTATTGTAGTAGGATAAAATGTCTTACGTGTCATCTACAAAGACGTTAATGCACTGCATTTTATGTTGGATTCACCAATCAACTATCAATTATTTACACTCTAGGTTGCCTTTCTTTTGTTCTTTCCTCTCACGTGTGCTCCAACTTATTGACTGTTTGTTGCATAAGATTTGTGACACTGATACAGATTTTTGCAGAATTCCAGATAGGATCAGCAGTGTCTGGCATGTGCCTTCAGGCCCTTTGCAGCACAAAAGTGTGGTGGAGTTTTGCATTGTATATTACACATCTTAAAGATTTCCCCAAATACAGTAGTATTCATTCCCTTCATCCAACCATGCTGTGGGGTATTGTTACCTTTTACCTTTGGCTTTCTTTCATAAAGGCAAAAAAAAATTGTGATCTCTGGTGAAAGGTGCTAACACTGAGAAAATATTTCCATCCCACCATTTGTGTACTAGCAGGGAAGCACAACTTCCTGTGCAAACTCTTTATAATATCCAGAAAACAGACATCTTTTCCTTAGCATTGTCATTGTCTGCTGTCTACTAATATAACCCCCTGCCTCTTGTAATGGCTCCAAAGCTAACAAGGCCACAAACTAATAAGGAGCAGTCGTTTTGCATTCTTCATCAATGCTAAATATGGCAGGCTGTATGGCAGATCTTCCTCCAAAACAAGGTCTTGTCCTCACTGTGTGCTTCCTCCTGGTCTCTCAGAACATGTCAGGAAAGGTACGTTGAATTAGACATTGCTCATTAATGTATGCCCATGTTAACTTTGCCCTGTGGCTGCTGGTCTGTTGGCTTAATGCCAACCAAAGAAAGACCACTGTGTTCAGTAATTTGATCTTTGAACAGCCTTGTTCAATGCAGTATATACTCATTGACTGTGATCTGTCCCTCTCCTCAAAATGCTGTTAACAGTGTGGGAATACTACAGAAGCATAGCTATTGCTGCTCTCCCTGTACTTCAGGATTTTTCAATCTAATTATGCTCCTGCTTAGGTTCTAGAAGCTTTAAAGTCTTATCAGGATTTGTGGACCATGGATACTTGACTGCTGTCTATATGTATGAGGAAACATCCTCAAGCTGTGTCAAGGGAGGTTTAGATTGAATATCAGAAAGAATTGCTTCATGGAATAGGTAGTTAGGCTTTGGAACAGACTGTCAGCGAAAGTGGTAGAGTCCCTGTCGCTGGAGATATTTAAGAGATGTATGGATATGATACATGGGGACTCGGTTTACTGGTGGACTTAGTAGAATTTGATATCTGGAACTGATGATCTTAAGGGTTTTTTTTACAAGGAAATACAATATAAATGATTTTGTGATACTCTGTCCATTGTCCTGGCCAAAAAGTCAAGAGTAGTTTAGGATAATTCCTGTGATCTGGAGACATTTGAACTCAAAGTAAAGAATCCTATTGCATTAATCTTTGGATCAGATTCCTACTTAGGCCCAGCTGGAGAAATAATCACCAAAGCTTTTCTGCTTGGAGGATCGCTTGTCACAGTGTTGTCCTCTGTATGTTTTATTCCATATGAACAAAATTTTAGACTAACTTGTCCTAGGAGAGGAGTCTGGAGACAGACTTCATCTATTTAGTTATGAGGTGGATGGAAAAAATCCGTATTTATCCAGACAGTTCAGAATATTGGTTAGTCTTTATCACATTAAAATGCAGACTAAGTAATGCCAGATTTTAAGGGCCACAGAGATTATTTTGATCACAGTCTAAACTTTCCCAAATGCAGGTGATATAGTCATCCACATGTATCCACATGTTTATCATAATAAATATTTCTTGATCTGCAAGATGTAGACTTGCCAGAGTGGGAGATAAGAGGACTGTAACTCTTTCTTGCCTTTATAAGCCTATTATTAGAATGTCAGATGTGGGTGTCTTCCTCTGTCATCATTTACTGATGAAGGTTTTCTCTGCCTGTGACTACACAGTCCTCCTTGTTTCTCTTTATGTTGTTGTATATCTCTTCCATTTCTGCAAATGGGAAAAAATCAAAATGTGTGGTGACTCTATATAATTTGCACACTATACAAACGTAATTTCTCCAAAGCTGACTTACTGTCAGTATGTGTAATTTATTTATTTGCAAAAGGTGTGAGATGAGTTGCAGAGCAGTGTACATTGCTAGGCAATAACTCCCTCTTCAAACACACCAGCTGCTTCCTGTTTTCACTGGGGTGTTTGCATCATGTCACTGCCTGACATCATTTGCCCTGGAGGCTTGAGGAAGGAGTAGAAAGGTTGCTGTGTTAATTAGAGAAGAGCGATAAAACCTGATGTTTTATTTATTTTCTTGAAGAGGGATTTGTGTGTCTTATCCGGTTTTATGGTAATATTTTTATGATGAATTTTTTGAGGTTTAGTTCAGAATCAGTTCCCCTGAGAAAGTAGTACTACAGCAAATTGCAGAGACCTCAGTACTTGAGATTTCTCGCTAAAATTAACCCACCCCTGACTGCAGTTAACAAACAGCCATAATATCCTTAAAGACCTTAACTTTTCTTCTGATGAAGATATCAGTATATTTATATACATAAACTATTTAAACATTTATCCTTAATGACTGAGATAAAACTTTCTGTAATTAAAACTACTAATTTATAAATACTGCCAATACATGGAGGTTGCAGCAGTTTATACCTGGACGAGAACAAGAAGGCAAAAGGCATACAGTTTATCCAGGTCTTCTGCCCAGAGATGAATGGTCTGAACAGTTTCAGGGATCTTGGCATACAGTGACTTCATTGTATGGCAGTAGTAGAAAACAAGCATCACCATGCATGTAAAATAAACTCTGGAGTAACCAAGTGTTGGCAAAATTCATGGACTGTGTTGTTGCATTCCTGCAATTGTTTTCTTTTGCTTCAGGTTTGCCATAGTTCATGTTTAGACTTCAGAAGTACACACTAAGCTGTCAGTCATAATGAAGTTTTGTTGAAAACTGAAGCTTTCTTTCCTTTCTTATGATCAAGAAGAATTAATAGGTTAAAAACCAGTATTCAAGGACTTTAATTTTGTAAACATTTGGTCTAAACAATTTGACTGAACCAGTCATGGTTGCAGCCTTGCTATTTATATTATACTGAACTGATCTGAAAGTAATGCCTCCTATTTTATTATGTTGGTTCATGATGTCAGAGTAGAATGTTGGTGGTATGGCAGTAGAAACTGAACTTTCCCACCCATATTTCATTATGTTTTGTTGCTGTGTAGTAGATGACAGCAGAGGCACAGTCTGACAAAATGGCTTCTGACATGGAAGTGAATATGAAGCAAAGATGTATAATTGAATTCCTCCCTGCAAACAAATTTAAAAATAAATAAAAAATTGCATCCATTGACATCACTGCTTACTGAACATTCATGGAGACTAAACAGTGGGTATGAGTACAGTGAGGCTGTGGTGCATTTCAGTGTCAGTGGGTCACTTCTGTTGGTGCAGATTTTTATGAGCATAACAGGCTGGTTCTTTGTTCATTACTGATGAAAATGCATAGCTAATGATGGTGACTGTGTTGAAAAATAGGGTTTGTAGCTGTGAATTTGCTCTGTCAAATAGTGTGATTGTGCTCTTTGTATCTGTTGTAGTTTCTGTGGAAATAAATAGGAACCATTATTTTTGGAGTGACCTATGGAAATAAATAAATTCCCAGTAAGAGAAAGACTGCTTAGTACATACCAACCTTAGGTTTATGTTGCAGTCAATTTCCATTCAACAAGCACTTAAGCATTTGTCCCGCTGAATTTAGCTCCTCATCTATTTGGGGTGAACAGGGTGTTTTACACTTGGGTAAACAGTTTGCCTCAGCAGGTTTTTGGTTCTTGATTGTTGCGACATCAAGTAATAGCACTGTGAATGGCAACAATAATACTAATTATTGTCATTAATTATGGTCACACTGCAGAAAATACACTTGAAAAAACACCTTTCCTTTTCCAAGTTTTGTACGATTTATTGTGTTTTCTCCTGAAAAACTTCTGCCTTTACCTTTGAGCTCTTTGCTTCTGTTCTGATTTTAATAGGCAACTGTTTTTATGCAGATTGCAGATTATTGACAATTTTTCAGCGTTTGTCTGATGCTGATTACTTTAGCAGCTTGCCTTCTGTATTTGCAGTCTTGCTGCTAATAATGTTACAGATCATTTAATGACACTAATAATGAAAGCAACTGTGTCACTTTCATTGTCTGTACTATCAGTGTACATGGATGATTAGAGGCTGCTGTGATAATTTTGGAAGGGCTCAACAACCCATTGTGAGTGGGAAGTTTAACCCATCATGTATGGCAGCTTTTTGTAATAGTGTAGCACTCTTCCATTATCCTAATACTGAGTCCATTGCTCACTGAGAGAAAAAGAAGGATTTTCATACTTCTTCAAGGTTTATCTTTAGATTCTATTAAACCTTTATTTGGATAGGAGAAAATTAGTACAAAGAAAATAGTACTAAGACACAGTTTTTGCTCCAGTTGTCACTGATTTGAACACTGTGTTATTGCCAAAAAAATGAAATGCATCACTTTACAAAGCTGATTATGAAGCACGTGAATAATTTGGGATAAGTTTCATTATGGTGATTAACATGCATGGCACTGCATCTCAATATGAAATGTATCAAGCCTGGATTGTTTATTTTATTGTTGTCGTTCTCATGATGGTATGCAATTTAAGAGCAAAATCACCCCCTCTCAATAAGATTTCAACGTCTTTTCTTAGCCGCGATCCTAGTTCTTATTTTCAAGATATATGAAATGTTAATTTATGTGTGCAATACCTTTGTTACATACGCTTCATAAAGAGCAGTCAGGCTCTTAGTATACATGGAAACTAATTTTCTCATAGGCTTTTGAGCTTTGTGTAAGTTTAATACTACAGAGTTTCATTGAAAGACCTTCAATTAACCCTGCCTCAGTACATGCATGCACAGAGTTGTGCCTTGAGTTTGCATCTGAACAACCTTTACTCCAAATGAAAGGCAAATGAGTTGGAACTGCCTGATTTTACTTCTCTTTTGCTATCTGAAAGCTTTGTAATGCTGTGGGTTTTATGAAAACTCTGGCTTGATATAGATATATATATATATGTATATATATGGAGCCTTTTGAGAAACTAGGCAAGAATCCAGAGTGTACTGTAAAGCATAAATACCAGGGTGTTTCTGATTGGTTTGAGTTTCATTTTAAATACTGGTATGTATTTTTGATGAAAGCATATCAATCAAACAATACTGTGGAAAAACTCCCTGCCAGTCTTACCTTCCACAGATCTAATCTAGCTAGACATCGTATCTTACTGTGTTATCAAGATGGAAAAAAAAAACCCACAAAAAACCTAAAAGAATTAGTAAAAGGACTGTAGATTACCAGAGAAACTAGAATTTAGCAGGGAGTTTGGACTAGATGATCTTCAGAGAGCTCCCTTCCAAAACAACTACAAGTCTGTAATTCCGTGAATGCAAGAAAGGAAAATCATTAGGTTGAAGGGAGTTTAGTAGCTGAAATCCTCAAACCCTCATCTTGTTAATACTGTCTGTTGCACTAGTCATTATGACTCTCAGGGTAAATAATGCTTTTGAAATGTGTTAACATTCTGAAGGTAGAAAGTATGCCAATAAAGAAAGTGGATCCAGGTACTATGCAGAATTTAGTGAGTGACCTTGAGGTCCTGCAGTGATGAAAATAGAAGGTCGTGCATGCCAGAACTAATACAAAATACTGAGCCCTGTCAGTATTTAGCAGTAGGAAAGAAGAAAAATATTCTGAGTGATTTAGTCAATTGTCATATTACTACAAAACACCTATGTAAAGAAGCTGATTTGGCACTAACATGCCTTAGACAAAGTATTTGAAATAGAAACAGCAAAGCATTAACAATCCTATGTAAAGCTTGTATAGTTCTTTTTTGTTAATTCCTATGTTTTTTTTCTATTCATCTGTTTTAAAGAATTCAAACTGAAGCGTGCAGAGAACATCTGAACTGGAAAGATTCTCATGTAGAAGAATGTAAGATTTTGGCATTTTTTCACATAATAAGCTTGAGACTATGACTGCTCTCTATAAATTCCTCAGGAGAGAGAACATGTAGGAATGATGTGAGATAAAGGGCATGGTGGGCAAAGAACGAGGTATGTATAAATAAATTTAGGCTGGAAATCAGAAGAAAAACATTCATTTTTAGAGTTATGATAGGCTATCCTATATTGAGTGATGAGAAACCTGCCTATGTAAGCAAAGATAAGCATAGAGCTATATCAGTGGAAGAAATTATTCAAGGTGGCAACTGTTGACAGGACTCTGATAGCCTGTGATGGAGCTGATGACTCAGCTGAATCCTGCCTAGGCTTACACATGCCTTCCTCCATAGTTGAGTGTTATGCTGTGAATGACTTATGGACTTTCACATAAGCAGACAAGGAGGGATGTGAAAAGGGATATTTCTGCTACAGATTCATTCTTTCTAGAATTTTGTTTCAAAGGTGAATCTGAATAGATGGACAAAGCTACATGTTTCTATATAAACTCTAAGTTTATTTCATTGGGAAAAATATAAGTTTCAGAAAAATTATTAATATTTTTTCTCTTGCCAGTTAAGTGGGTAGAGTTTCCTTAAAAAGTGAATAAACGAACGCCTAAATCTGTTATAGGCCAGAATATGTTGTAGTTACTCAACACACATAAATGAGAGAACTGACACTGCCTGATATATTCTTGTCGATAAGTGATGCTCTGTTTCAGGGCTGCAGTGCTCATTAAGTCTCAGAGTTTTTAAATGGCTGTGTGTGTATATATGGAGTGGTGAGCTGTATTCCTTTTTCTCCATTGCACAGTTAAGCTCTGGCACGTGTCCACTGATGTACAAGAAAGGTGAACTGCCAGGATGTTGTGGCTCAGTAGGAATATCTAGTGTCAAATCTTGTAACACAGAATGTATTAGAGGCTAATAAACAGCCATTAACCAGCTAGCTTTCAGATTTACCAATTACCACACTGTTCTAGGCCATGGACCTGCTTGCTGTTGCTGACAACTCTGCATTAATGAATCTCAAGCTTTAACCTCCTTGAATTCATGAATAACAATTTGAATCCTTGTAACTTGATTACTATGAAGTGGAAACTTTAGTTGAGTCTAAACATTGGCTATGAGGTTGAGACGAGAGAAAGACAACCCTACTCCATCACTGGTTATTTAAACTTATATGAAACCAAGCACCTGTCACAGTGATAAATGGCTTTTCTTGTTATCTAGCTGTCTGTATCATTTTCCAGTCTGTTTCCAATCAAACACCTAGACAACACTGTGGAAACTAAGGTACCATTGTCTTCATTTTATTTCTTTTCCAGGGAAATGGGTAAAGGTCACAAGATGCTTATAAATGTGATTGATTTTATTTGAGTCACTCTGAGAACACAGATTAATTTACTTGTATGTGTAATGTAAGGTCTTATTTTCGTCACAGAAGAGAGTTTCTTTCCTTGTTTACTTATCTTCAAGTTCAAGCCACAGCCACCTCAAATCAAGAGTTGTCCCAATGGGTTAAATAAATAAAAGTTCTTTTTCACAGCATAGAGTGAAAGTAAATCAATTTTTAATGTTTTATTTTCGATCAAAATCTTAGCCTTAAAATCTTGAGAGTGTCCTCAGCAACTATTATATGAAAAGACCCTTTCCTACAATGCCAATGCATCTTGTGCCCAATGTGAATATTTTTTTTTAAATTACTCTTCTGTTCAAAATGTTTAGTTCTAGGCCTCCTGTACGTCAGAAGCAGAAAAGATCAAGAAAGAAAAGAAGAATGTCTATAAGAAAAACAAAAAAAACAACCCACCAAGCAACAATATTTGAAAATGTTAAACTTGGGAGAATTATCTGTTCCACAATAAGCAAGTTGTCTGAATAGGAAGTTACTTTGGTCACTTCTGAATATAGAAGCTATGCGCAAGTTGTCACTTGGTATCAGTTTGAATGAAGAGAACTGTCTCATCCTGACCTATCTGACAGCTTTAGGATTAGCTCTATAATACTTCAAAGTTTTTTTATTCTTTTATAGCTTCAGTGCCGTACATCCAACACGATTACAGTGAACTTTTGTTCTCTTTTGCTGGACTCTGGACTTAAAATATAAATTTGAATGTTATGAATTTCATTATCAGTGTCACAGAACATGAATGTAGAGTAAACCCCCCAGAGATCACAATAGTACTTTCACTTACTTTTAAGATGTAACTGGAGATAACTGGAGATGGACGTGCTAATTATACTTTTTTCTCCTTTATAGAAAACCTGAAGTAAGGAGAATAATCGGATTCTTTCAGTTCCTGCCTCTATCAGTTGCTATACTGTGCCTCTTCTCTCCCTGCAGTGAGACACAGGTATGAGACCATAAAGGTCTTCCTCTTCTGAAACTATTTCCTTGTAAAAGAAAGCATACATATATATACATACACACACATTAATTGATCATGAAACAGGAGGTGAGAGAGAGAAAGATTCTGCATGTCAGTTAACAGCTCTCTCCTTCTGGGAGAAAGGAAGGCTGTTCTTTAGAAGAAGCCTTAACATTTGGTTCTGTAATTTATCTGGTGGTAAAAGTTTGTCCTGGGAGGAGAGAATGGAGGGACTCTTTCTATAGGGACAAGAAGGTTGTTTGCATATTGCTGGTAAAGCTATTCAGGAGTCTGACCCTCAGAAACAAGAGTGCTGAAGGAGCCAGGCTCCCTCTGCTTTCTATCCTTGCCTTCCAAGAGCAGATCCCACAGTTATGCTGTACTCTGTGAAAGCAGGAGGCAATCACAGAAAATTCAAAAGATGAGATGAGGATGTGTGGAAAAACAAAATAATCATTAAAATGTTTCACTGTATCTTCTCCAGGAGATGTGAATTTGAGTCATGGCAGAACATAGGAAAAAAAAACTGAAGCCATTTTTTGAGTGAACTCTCACTTGCTAAGCTACTGTATATCCGGGGGAAGTATGTGATACCTCCTCCTCCATGTGCTCTTGGAAAGAAAAGACTGAGGTGTGTTAAGCTCTATGAAAAAAGAGTGTCTAAGCTAGCCTCTCAGGAGAAGTTTCAGGGTAAAGTCTGACGAGTGGATTTTTCTTCCATGATTGACTACTGATTAAGTTGAAGCTGCTATTCCTTAACTTGTTTTGTCTGATTTGATAACTATCCAAGCATCTCAGTTTTCCTAAAGTCCCCTGCAAGGGTTCAAGACCAGGTTCCTGCTAGTCAAATATAGCAACACCGATGAGGTCATTAGCAAAATCCTCTACTTCTGTATGAACCGAGTGATTTATGAAGTTGCGTAAGTCAATACAAGGAATAGAAATGCTTTTGGATATTTCCTCAGGTTACCCTTTCTCTTGTATCAGTGACTAGACACTTCATCGTAATCATGAATTTTTTGATTCAGAAATGAAACTTAACTGGAAATGTGTGAGATTTTGCTTTTATTTAAGTTGAATGTCATCCTTTCTTTAGAGAAGACAAGATGAGAAAGGAAAGTACAACTTATCCACTATATTGACATTTGGGTTTGGGAAGTACAAAAATATGTGAGCTGCACATACTATAAATATTAATAATGTTAAAAAAGAATCTTCTCACTCGGGCTTTGTGTTAATCTTACATGATTCAACTCCTGGTTGCATAATGAAGATCTTACATATTTAATAAGTGAATTGAAGTAGGTCCAAATGAGTGAACAACATAGTGCTGTAAAAAAGAAACAGGGACGGGGAAATTCTTGTCAGATGAGGTTGCTGGGAAAAAAGAAAAAAAAGCCGATCTATTGACATTTTTGTCTCTTATCAAATGTCATTGTGAATTGAAAGTGGAATGTCTGGAAAAAAAAGCAGCACTAATTTCTGTGTAACCTGATGAACGTACTTCCATTGTTTCCAGGAAATCATATTAAAAAGGTCACTGCTCTATGTATGAAAATACCATGGCAGTTGCTCTATTGCTCTTTCATTTTAGAATAAGCACTTGAATGTCATCAAAGAGAAATAGCTGATATACTGTAATTAAAAGTAGATTTTGATTTACAGTGGGGAGGAGGATAGGAATGAATCCTTCCATGCTGCTGAGGTAAACATGCAGCTTATTCAGAAATCAAACTCTCCAAAGGATGAAGGAAAAATATGACTAAATTAAAATATCTGGGGTATGAAAATGTGTATGTCAAAGGAACTGAAAAATTCCCCCTTCTTGTGCTCTTCTGCAAGTAACTCCTTTGGGTAAAACTTGTACCATAACAACAGGTAAAACCTTTATGAGGTGCAAAGTTTTGCTAGAAAATAAAGGTTTTCTATTCAGTTCAGTTGATGTCTTGAAATGAAATTAAGCCTGGTGTAAGAGTACAGCGGTGAAGAGTCTGGAGTGCTTTTAGGGAATAAAATACACACGAACACTGCATCTTACTGCTAGAGATGAAACAGTGAAAATGACAAGAACAGTGACTTTATTTACTTTTCATTCTGCCCACCATTTGGTCACTTCTTCCTTTCTTCTCAGGTGTGATATCTGCTTTGCTGTCTTCTCCTTCAGCTTCTCCCTGATGTCTTTTATGCCCCTCTGTATTTTTCACGTTTTATTTTACAAATAGAAGGAAGCACAGGAATACTCTTAGCCTTAAGGTGTAACTACTCCTCCTTTGCTTTTTATTTCTCTATTTTTCCTATGAAAAACAAAAACAACAGATTCAGACATTCCCTTTCCCTTGTCATTGATTTTTATTTTTCAGTTACTAACAGCACTCTGTGGCATCTACTGTTACAATACGCTTTTGCTTCCATTCAAGGTGAGACTCCTAGTGATTTTTTTTTTTGGAGGATTATGAGCTATAGCATTTTCTCAATTGTGCCTCCATAGATAGACTGAAATTGAAATTTTTTCATATATAGCATATAGAGGCTCCTAAGAGCTGGGCAACAGAGGTATTTATTATGTCATCGTCCTCTTCTCTGAAGGGCTCTGACTCTTCACAAGTGACAGGCAGCTATCTCCGAGGATTAGAGTGAGTCACAAGGGGATCTTCTGATTGTCTGACAGCTCTGTGAGTTTCCTGGCTCTTGTACTCTTGGAATTTAGTCTGTGTCAATTATATCTGGAAATGGAACACATCATCCAGTCACTTCAAAACACTTTCTGGTTTTATCTTCCCTTTTGTCTTCGCCTTTAGGAACATGGGAGTTCAGGTTGTGAATGGAAAATCTCTATGCTGCAAATTGCTGAACGTGTAAACAAATGCCCTCTCTCCTTCCTATGTTTCCTTTCCTGGGCTGTGTAGTTATTTCTCCTCTTTCACTCCTTTCTAATTCCTCTTTGTAGGAGGAATTTGTCATGACATTGTGGAACTGGGACCACAAGATTATAATGACAATGTGTGAAATGGAAACCTCTGTCTATCACTTTGCAATCAGCACTCTGCTACACTTCCCTGGCTTCTATCCAGTCTCTGAGTTATGCTTTTATCAGATGGTTTGCTTTTATTTTTTTTTCATCAGCTCAGTCCTCCTGTGCTTTTTGAAAGCTGAGCTGCCTCTCTTGACTCTGCCTCAAACACAAATGCTCAAGGACTCAGAAGTGTGGAATTAAAGAATGCATTGAAATGCGGCTCAGAAGTCAGGCTCATGTTTTTGCCCTGTGTCTGCAGAGCTGGTTTTGTCCCATTTTCATAGGATGAAGAAGTCTTCCTGTTCACTGTCTGTGACACGAATGAACTGTGGGAGAACAGAGCAAAACAGCAGCGCTTGGGTATCAAGGAGTCCTCCTACTCCTCAGCATCATCCGGTGACAGAGGCTGAGCCTGCATCACTGTTCTGTGGCTGAATTGGTTTGTGGGGAACTTAACCTGATATATGAACTGTCACAACATAAGAAGAAGAGGACATGTAAAAGTTTATATGAAACTCAGAAAATATGTAAAACAAAAGGATAAAACAGGAGTTTCACAACAAAAGTTTCCAGCCACTCCAGCTCAAGACATTTCTTCTTTTCAAGTGCCAAAATATGCCATAGTTTACATCCTCCTTTCTGAAAACCTTGGGGTTTTCTAGGATAATTTTGGTATTAAGGTACCTCCTCTAATGCCTGTAGCACTTTTTTTCAAAGAGAGGAAACAGAAAGGAAAGTGAGAGTAAAATCAATTAAGCAGGGGGAAAAAAAAAATCTTTCTTTAGAAAGCCCTTTTTAAAATTAATTTTAAAATGAATTACTTTTGTCTGGCTAGATTAAAATAGTAGGATGGTATTAGAAGCAAGGATGGTGTTACTCTTACTATCCTGTTGGTTCAGCGCAGGCAAATGCAGCATGTTGCTTAATCTGCTTATATGCACATGGCCACCTTGCACTGTCAGCAGTACATACTGCTCGTGTTTGATACATTTGTATATTATTGTATACTGTTATCCATATCAATAATTACTTTTGTATTAATAATTGATTATTTCCCTAAGAAATAACAGTGCTTATTTTCCAGGCACTTTGCATATATGGCTTAAACAGTTGAATGTTTCATTCATTAGAGCCTTGCACCTCATAAAATCAGCCAATCAAAGTTTGGTTCTTACTGCAGACGGGTAAATACCCTTGTTCTTTTTCTTTCACTTCAGAAGTGAAATAGGGACAGAAAAAAGTTTACTATAGATAAAATCACAGAGACTTCAAATTTCTGGAATGTGTCATTTGTTAGGCTGCCTGGTGAAAGGTATATGCACCATAGTGCTTTTTTCTCAACCTCTCCTTGCTCACATATGGAGGACACCCTGCGTGTGTTCCCTCTGCAGCAGAGAATTTGATTTGTCTCTTTTATGCAGGTACATAGGTAGCTGACCCCCATCTTTCCATTTCTCTCTGAAGGTCAGAGCCCTGAAAAAGGGCCTTGTCTTCCTCCTTTCTGTAGGCACATCCTAGAAATGAGGGAAGAAAAACACAGAATCTGCAGGTGTGCATTCAGTGAAAATGTCAAGGCTATTCAAAAGCTTATTCTCTTTAGCAATTAGTTGCCCTGCATGTCAAACAAAAAATCCACAACTTAATCTTCTACCTTTCTTAGCGTTGCACCTTATGTCTTTGAAGACTTAGGAAACAAAATACTCATCACAAAAATGTGGCCCCAAATGTGTTCAAGCGAGACATCTCTTAAAATACAAAGCCTGTTAGGAAATTCAGCTCACTTGTGAACAGGCAAGATAGACTCTCACGGTTCAAGATCCAAATTTTTGCTGTTGCTATTTTCCTCAAGATGATTTACAAATCACTTGTGCAGGGGGAACAACTCTCACATCTTTTTAAAAACAAATGATAAACTAAGTTATGGAGAGGTGAAAGGAGCACAGAGTGGCTGTTTCTGGGCTCATTGCACCGA